TAATTTGTCCATCTCCTCTTCCCAAAATTCTGCATCCGTCAGGCGAACGCTTTGGATGATCATGCTCCTAATTATCCCAATCTTTAGCCTGTAATTGTAATGGGAGCCGAATTTAAGTATTATCCCAGAGTAGGACTTCTTTCTGTACAATTCAGCAAAGTCGTTGTTAGTGAATGATGGCCATTTGAATAAACCAGTACATTTTGAGGGCCTGACAGTTAGGGAGCTGGGCACACCGTCATAGGAATTAAGTGATATGGACAAAATGCACTATAAATCCACTTAAAATACCACATGGGATTCAGAGCTTAAGCACTCCGCTCAGTAAAGCAGCTGTGTATGTGCTTCTGGGGCCTTACAAAATAGCGGCCAAAGTGAAATGGACACAGGGACTGGACCCGAGTTAAATCGGTCAACTAGGAAGTTAAGGAACGGATTTACGAGACTATGAAACTATCCGGATTGGAGGCCTGAGTGGGATAAGCCCATCGTCAGAGAGGGGTAGGGGTAAATATTAAGTGCGATGAGGCCACATTAGGTTTGCCACAAAGGGCACACATTTGGATGAATTAAATAAGAAGTTGTGATAGGACGGCAGTGGGATAAGAGGGTAAAGAGTAGATAGATAGACAATGACAGAAGTAGGAGTTAGGACGGCAGTGGGATAATAGGGTAAAGAGTAGATAGATAGACAATGACAGAAAGAGGAGTGATAGTGTGAAATGAAAAGTTGTGATAGGACGGCAGTGGGATAAGAGGGTAAAGAGTAAATAGATAGACAATGACAGAAAGAGGAGTGATAGTGTAACGTTATCCAGCAGAACGGTTAGTCGAGGGATTGACTTCACTTGTTTCTTTTACGAGTTCGTATCTTGGTGCGGAGAATGGCAAGTCTCACTGATGATGCCGACTACGATGCCGGCGAAACGTGCGTTCGTAGCTTGGTGCGGAGAATGGCAAAACTCACTGATGATGCCGACTACGATGCCGGCGAAACGTTTGAAAATGTCTTGGTGCGGAGAATGGCAAGTCTCACTGATGATGCCGACTACGATGCCGGCGAAACGTCTGAGAATGTGTCAAGTCCACGGTCGGATGCTGGGAATCAAGACAACTACTATGGCAGACGACTTCGGACTCGGTGCGTTC